AATAATTCTCAAGTCATAAAATGCAAAATAAGCTTCCATATACAAGCTTCTGCAATATGCTGCACTCTAATACTAATGCTTGAGTGCTTTTAATTTGAAACATTTACAGGACGTGTTGAGTTTGTATTAACACGTAATGCAGCGACTGGGAGCGGATCAAGACGAGGCTTCGGTCTAAAATACAGCTACGAACAGTTCTACAGTTTTAAATAAAGACCTGTTACCTGCTGCAGGTGAGGTAAACAAACGCCCCGCCCACTATTTTAGGAAGTACAGTAGTTGAAAACTGTTGTGGATCTGCAGTTAACTCCCCCTGGGGATGTAGAAACGGTTTGCAGCAAATCATGAATGAGCAACGGCCAATGGTGTAACTTCATCACTCACTCACTCACTCACTCACTCACTCACTCACTCACTCATGAACATTCGGTGGTTTGGTGGCAACAACAAAAAAAAAGGTTTAAACATTTTAATGGAAACAAAAACCTGAAAGCTGCAGCTTGTGTCAGGGGCCACATATTCTAGATGAAGGGCCGGATGTTTGTTTTCCTGCTGTAAAGAAACCACAAACAGCTTCCTGTGTCAGTGTTTGAACATTTAAACTGTTGTGGACGTTTCAGTCTCATGATGAAACTTTTGGTTTGTTGTTTTCTGTGATTAAACTTCAGCTGATGTGGAGTTTAAACAGTGAAGATGTTTAAACGGAGCGACGCTCTCACCCGCAGTTTATCCCAGAGGATTGGATTTGATCTAATTCCTGGTGTAGGAGTGATTTTAAAGACGCAGAGGGGGGAGTGTAATTCCTGAGTTTAGGAGGTGTTGTGTGTTTTCTTGTGTTTTGTATGCTGCAGCTTGTACTGCAGGGATCAGCTGCTGTGCCAGCTCCGGGCCGGATTCATCACTTATTAGGACGTGAACGGTTTGTGGCGCTGCAGAGAGCGCGGGGATTAGGCTAATACCTGGTTTTAGAGGGGAAATGGAAAATACCTCAGCCAGAACAGGATGAGAGGATGGAGGGACGGAGGAGAATACAGATGAAGAAGTGACTGTTTTTTTCACAGTGAAGGAATCAGATTTTAAAGTTTTAATCTGTAACTTTTCCACATTAAAACGATTAAAAACATCTAGACTTGCGTTTTATATGTTGTTGAGTTCGTACATCATCACAAATGTTTCTATCAATTCTCAAACCAGAGAAATGTGTGATTTTAATCGTGACGTTTCATTGGTCGCCTGTTGATGACATCATATTGTCATCAGATTTAAGCCACAGACACTTTTTACACCTCTGTGGTTTTCAGCTCGTTATTTGAAGCAGATGATTTTAGTGTCGGACGTCTGGATCTGAAGATCTCAGAGAAACAAGCCGAGGAAACGCTCGACAGCTCAGCTCCAGCTGCTGGAGACGTCCTGTCCTGTGTCACTGAGGAGCGTCGCTGATTGTTAAAGTGAAACTGTTTTATTCAGTGTTTCTACCAGTTTTAATCCCCTGGTCTGTTTGTTGTGGAGAGGAGGAAACCTCTGTGAATAATTCAGCTGCTGGTAAAAACCTCTGGTTCATAAGTTATTAAAGAAACAAAGGTAAGCAGTCAGAGTTTCCAGCTGCTCAGAGACGTCACGTGTCCTGAAGAGCGACCGTGAGTCACTGATTTTTTTTGAAGTTATTGTTTTGGGCATTTTTGCCTTTTTATCAGTTCAGTTGTAACCAGCTGTCACACCTCGTCTCTTTCATGTCTGTTAAACATTCATTATATTATATTATGTGTTTGTGTTGAACTGCTGAAGTCCAGAGAAACAGACCAGGACAAACAGGAGTCAAACCATCACCATCACCATCATCATCATCATCATCATCATCACCATCACCATCATCATCATCATCATCATCATCACCATCATCATCCTCATCATCATCATCATCATCATCATCATCATCATCCTCATCATCCTCATCCTCATCACCATCATCATCATCATCATCACCATCATCATCCTCATCCTCATCCTCATCACCATCCTCATCATCATCATCATCATCATCATCCTCATCATCATCATCATCCTCATCATCATCATCATCATCATCCTCATCATCACCATCATCCTCATCCTCATCACCATCATCATCATCCTCATCATCATCATCATCCTCATCATCATCATCATCATCATCCTCATCATCCTCATCCTCATCACCATCATCATCATCATCATCATCACAATCATCATCCTCATCATCATCATCATCATCATCATCATCCTCATCATCCTCATCATCATCATCATCATCATCATCATCATCCTCATCCTCATCACCATCATCATCATCATCATCATCACAATCATCATCCTCATCATCATCATCATCATCATCATCATCCTCATCATCCTCATCATCATCATCATCATCATCATCATCATCATTATCATCATCGGTGGGTTCAGGTCTGGATCTATTCTGGTTCTACTTGAGCTTGTTTCTTTATGGTTCTAGATGAACTCTTCTCTGGTTTCTTGTGGTTCTGGTTGTACTCTGTGTTTCCATGGTTACGTCTCAACTCTCCGGTGGTTCAGTTCTATTCACACTCGTTCTGTCTGGTTGGTTCTTCTTTGATTGAACAGTTCTGCAGTTCCTCTGAGCCTCTCTTGTTCTGGTTCTACTGAAACGTTCCTGTGTGTGTGTGTGTGTGTGTGTGTGTGTGTGTGTGTGTGTGTGTGTGTGTGTGTGTGTGTGTGTGTGTGTGTGATGACATCAGCAGGAAACATTCGCAGAGTCATCGGAGGACAGAGAGAAAAAACCATCCAGAATCTAAAAATAAAAAAAGTGAGAAAAAGTAGGACAACCAGATCATCCACACCTCCTCTCCTCTCCTCCTCCTCCTCCTCCTCCTCCTCCTCTGTTCTCCTCCTCTTCCTCTCTTCTCCTCCTCTTCCTCCTCCTCTCCTCCTCCTCTCCTCTCCTCCTCCTCCTCTTCCTCTCTCCTCCTCCTCTCCCTCCTCCTCCTCTCCTCCTCTCTTCTCCTCCTCCTCTCCTCCTCCTCTCCTCTCCTCCTCCTCCTCTTCCTCTCTCCTCCTCCTCTCCCTCCTCCTCCTCTCCTCCTCTCTTCTCCTCCTCCTCTCCTCCTCCTCTCCTCTCCTCCTCCTCCTCTTCCTCTCTCCTCCTCCTCTCCCTCCTCCTCCTCTCCTCCTCTCTTCTCCTCCTCCTCCTCTTCCTCTCTCCTCCTCCTTCTCCTCTTCCTCTCTCCTCCTCCTCTTCCTCCTCCTCCTCTCCTCCTCTCTTCTCCTCCTCCTCCTCTTCCTCCTCCTCCTCTCCTCCTCCTCTCCTCTCCTCTCCTCTCCTCTCCTCTCCTCTCCTCTCCTCTCCTCTCCTCTCCTCTCTTCTCTTCTCCTCTCTCACACCTGCAGACCTGCGGCTGGATCTGGATCAGGGTTAGTGGTCCAGTCTGCTCCTCCTGTCAGTTCAGGATTCATTTCCCTCTGCAGCTCGTTAAGATCTCACAGCTTTAATTAGCGGAGCCTCGTCAGACTGTTCTCCAGAGTCCTCAGGTCTGACCTGCAGGTCCAGGTGGACCGTCACACATCACCTGGACCTGCAGGTAGGAGAATCAGTGAAACTGAAGTGACTGATGTGGATCCACTTCCTGTTGTGTTTGAAACTTCAGCTGCAAAAAGTTTGTAAAAGACGTGATGTCGTTGTTTTATCAGCCGTTCTCCTTCACTCAGCTTTGAATTTTAGAAATTTGCAATTTAATTGTTCAAATTTAAATTCATTTTTTAAAATTTTTTATTAGTTTTAATTTGAATTTTTTTTCATTTAGAGTTTTTAAATTATGTTGTTGTCGTCGTTGACGCTGCAGCAGATCACCATCAGCGTACTTGATAAAACAGGTTTTACACCTGACGATGTTCCTGATGTGACCTTGGTTCGGGGGGTCCGGGGATCAAACCGCCAACCTGCTGTAGCACCTGAGGCGTGGCCCCGCCCCTTTAGAAGCCACTGTATGTACCACCACACTATAGTTCAGGACCAGCTGATGTCCTCATGATCCAGCTCCAAGAAGACGCTGTTCTTTACTGCAGTTTTCAGGGACTCAAACGCCACGCTGCCATCTTGCCGCGTGGTTCCCATGACAACAGGTAGAGAACATCCTGCAGGCTCCGTAACAGCCCACTCAGCTCGCTGAGACTCACAGAGCTGTTTGAGTCTGACAGCTGCAGGTAAAGACACAGTCTCTGTCAGGAAACACTTGTGTGTCACGGCGGCGGCGGCGGCGGCGAGTGGGAGGATCAGAGGAGCAGCACGTTTAAAGTTTGTTTTGTGGAAAGACGAGAATCAGTTTAAGCAGTTTAAATCATGAGAGGGGAAAAGTTTCAGTCTTTAAAGAGACGATGCTGTTACAGTCACTGAGTTCAGTGGGCGGGGCCTAAGGTAGACAGGTAGAAGGGCCCCACCCTTCCTGTATCGGCCATCAGACTGAGCGAGGTCCTTTCATCTCTTTATCGTTGTTTTGTGTCGTTGTCGTGCGTCTCACTCTCAAACCTGATTTTTAGAACATTTAACGGGCGGCAGTCAGAGCGGCGGCCATGTTGTTTTCAGGTCGACGTCTCATTCTCGTGGACACGATGTCTCAGTAACGCCTCAAACATTCAAACACAAGGATGAACTGATTACATTTTGGTGGACAAAGGTCAGAGGTCAAGGTCACGGTGACATCATAATAACTCGAGGCACAGAAATCATGATTTCACATAAATGCTTAATATTTGATTGGACTCTGGATAATCGGGGCTGGAACCTGGAGCTAGTCTGAGTGGAGGAGGTGATTCTATCGTCATTGTACGAGTGAAATTAAAGTGTCACCTTCTGCTTCTGCTGCCGGTTTGAGTTTCCTGTGTGTTGAAGCTTCTTCCTATCTGTCCGACACACTCTCACCTGTTATCCCTGTGTGTGTGTGTGTGTGTGTGTGTGTGTGTGTGTGTGTGTGTGTTGTCGCCCACAGCGCCCCCTACAGTGCGGATCGTGCACTCAGGTCAGGCCTGTAACGTGGAGGAGGAGCGCTACACTGAGAGAGTGTACACCATCAGAGAGGGAGAGACCCTGGAGCTGCAGTGTCTGGTGACGGGACACCCCCGCCCACAGGTAACCACACCTGATGATGATGATGATGATGATGATGATGATGATGATGATGATGATGGTGATAGGGTGGGGGAGGGGGCATCCACAGTGTAGTCAGCTGTGTACATGAAAAATTAGTAAAAAAACAGTAAAAAAAAAACAAAGCTGAGAAGTTCAAACCCCGCCTACTTCCCCACCTCCACACAGCCGACCAATCAGTGAGGTGGCTGTGATGTCAGAGACCGGATCACCTGTTACTGACGTGTTGTCTGAACTCAATCAAAGATCTTCTGTGAGGGAAGAGGCTCCACTCTGTAACTGCACAGTCAGACAGTTTCTGTATTTCCCAGCAGAGTGAGACGTCTTCACTTCCTGTCACTGTCACTTCCTCCAGTTAAACTGATCAGTCCGTTGAGATGATCTGTGAACTGGGACCTTCGGTGTTTCACGGTTAAAACAATCTAATAATTAAATTTTTCTACATCTTAAACTTTGTGGATTCACGAGACTTATTCCGGACGCTGTCTCCCACATTCACAAACCGTAAATGGAAGAGAGAAGAAGAAGCTGAAAAGACGGAGAAATGAAGGTTTCCTGTTCCTCAGGCGATTCGTAGTCCGGGTCTGCCGCCGCCGTTGGTCATCAGCTCCTGTGAAGATTCACTCGTGGCATCTCCAGCCTTCTCTTCTTCCCATCACCACCAGAGTCGAGACCACACAGCCTCACCGCCTCCTCACGTACGATGACATCGCGATGAGTCTGTTCTCACGGGAATCAAAGTTAACTCGTTCTCCTGAGCGTCTCGGACTCAGTGATGTCTGATCATGTTCAGGATGTGGCGGTTTCACAGAGACGGTGGGTTCACAGAGTCCTGAATCTGAATCAGGGCTAAACACCTGGACCTGGACCTGGACCTGGACCTGGACCTGAACCTGAACCTGGACCTGGACCTGGACCTGAACCTGAACCTGAACCTGAACCTGAACCTGAACCTGAACCTGGGCTGATAGAGAACTGGTCCTTAACTCACTGGTTTACAGTGAGAGAGAAACCAGTTCAGAGACCTGAGTTCATCACAGAACACAGGATGAATGAATGAAAGAAGAAACCTCTCTTACACACACACACACACACACACACACACACACACACACACACACACACACACACACCGCCCGTATTGACTCTGCAGAGCACACAGTAATAAACTCCCCCCTCCCCTCCCATCATCCCCAGCGGCGTGCTGCAAGTGCCAGAGCTCCTGCTGAGACGAGCTGCTGCGACGCCTTTGTGTTTCATAAATGAAGAAGAAGAAGAGGAAACCCTGGAGGACGAGACGCTGCTGCTGTCTGTGAATGAAGAGAGAGAGAGATTTACTCTGAGTGAGGAAGAAGAGAGGCAGGAAGATGAGGATGGTGAAAGAGAAGTCAGACGTACGAAGGAGAGTGAGAGGTGTTGTGAACGCAGCTCTTCTTCTTGTCTTCAAGTCGTCGTTAACGTTAATTAAACCTGAACACAAACACCTGGACGTCCTGTGAAGCTGATGAGTTCAGGTGTTGTCCCTCGTCCCGTCCACACTGGCTCTGGTTTGTGTGATCAGGACCAGAGGAACCCGCCTCCCCCAGGTGGACTCTCCAGGACTCTTTGATAATTTATCATTAGTAATATTTTGCTGTTTACATTTTATTAAGGCTTAAAGTTGTGGAGAATTGAGGTGAGCGAATGCTTGACTCTCAGCTCCACACACGCCCCCTCCTCTTTGCCCATATTTGGATTAGCTGGGAGTTAGGGGGCGGAGTCGGGCACTGCCAAGAGAGCGATGGTGAAGCAGCTCACTCTGAGCTTCAGAAACCTGTGGGTGACGTCACAGAGGCGACGTCCATCTTTATCTACAGTCTGTGGTTTAGAGCAGTGGAGGTTCTTCTGCAGATCCTGCTGATGTCACAGTTACATCATCACGTCCAGGTCTTTGTCTCAGCTGTGATTGTGCCTCACTGGCTTGTTGTAAATGTTCAGTCTGTTCAGTGTGTGTGTGTGTGTGTGTGTCCTTCAGAGACTCAGTGACAGTAAACAGCCTGTTCTTCACTGTGTTGGTATAAAGTGGGACAAAATGCAACAACCTCAATCTTTAATCCAGATAGTTGCTTGTTAAAGGATTTAAAGCGTCGGGGGCTTCATGTTGTTTCTCTCCCAGCTGTGATGTCACAATAAAAGCTCATTAAAACCTCTGCTGCTGCAGACTGCATCTTCATTTACTGTCAATTAACTACAGACACACACACACACACACACACACACACACACACGCACACACACAGTGATTGATTAATGGAGAAATTAATAGGCATATTAATCAATAATGAGAATGATCGTTAGTTGCAGCCTCGTGTTAACTGGTCGACTACAGTGACTGTTCAACTGTAAAATACAAATCATCATGAAATCATGATTTCAGTCTGATGATTTAATGTTTAAGGTGAAGAAGAAGAAGAAGAGAGGGATGAAAGAAACATGCAGAGGAAGCTGAGCTCTGCAGTGACGCAGAGAGGAAAAAAAACAAGTGTGTTTTACAGTGTGTGTGTGTGTGTGTGTGTGTGTGTGTTCAGACTGCGTGCCAGTAGCTGCTCTATTTATAGCTTGAACAGACTGACAGCAGAGAGAGAGAGAGAGAGAGAGAGAGAGGGGAAGTAAAGAGAGGTGTGGAGAGAGTCTCACTTGGTCTCACAGCTGATTATTGATTATTAGTGAAGATGTAATGCCAAGATGACATCATCACGTTAACGCAAACCCATGGGAATTATCACAATCTGTGGACAGAGCCCGGTTTTCTTCTGTCCTGGTCTAGTCCTTGTGTCTCTGCTGGTATCTAGTGCTGGTATCTGGTCCTGGTGTCTGGCCCTGGTATCTGGTCCTGGTATCTGGTCCTGGTATCTGGTCCTGGTGTCTGGTCCTGGTCTCTGTGAGTCCACGGCGTCTTCTCAGTCCATGTGAGCTGGACTTAGTCTTATCTATAAAAGTTCATCCTTTTCATTGAGTCCGACCTGAACCTGTTTGTTCCCTCTGATACGACTCGTAGGATCCTCTCCTTATGGCAGCAGGCATATTGGACCTTGGTTGTCATGGTTACAGTAATAAACACGCAGAGTGTACCAACAGCGGCGTACCGGACCTTCGTTGCCATGGTTACAGTAATGCAGTTAAGTTTATGGAACGGTCATGGTCTGGTTAGGTCCAAGAAAAGATTTTTTGGTTCAAACAAGTAGGCTACCTCCTTGAGATTAGAGGTTGCCATGGTTACAACAATAACAAAAAGGGGGTTAAAATCTGCTTCCTGTTTACACCGGATGCCCAGTGTGCAGGGGGGCGGGCAGAAGACAAGAAGACGACTCTGATGACAGAGGTCAGGTGATGATGATGATGATGATGATGATGATGATGATGATGATGATGATGATGATGAAGATGGTGGTGGAGGAGAGGAATGGACGGAGCAGCTGGAAGGGACGGATGGAAAACTGACCAACAGATGCTGAATGAGGACAAATCTGTCTGAGAGGCGGAACACACACACACACACACACACACACACACACACACACACACACACACACACACACACAGTGGAGTTAATCTGCTAATACAGTCTGGCATCAGTTCAGTTTCCATCTAAAGACTCCACTTAGTTACACTCATTATTTCTGCCACAGTGCCTCTGAGCCAGGCACCACCTGCTCCAACAGCAGAGAAAAACTCACAGTCCCATCAGCCACCAGGAGAAGCTGCTTTGGTCTCATGGTCACAGCTTTACTGCTGTGGTTCTCTCTCATCCAGATGTTCTTAGAGAAACATCTGTGAAGAGCCTCTGTCCTCCACAGCAGCAGAGTCATGACGTTCATCTGTAACAGCTGGATGTGGAGATAAACAGCTGTTTGTCAGCGTGTTGATGTGTCACAGTTACACCATCAGTCAGTGCAGGTTTAAGGTTTAAAACGGGTTTAACTCTGTAACAACATCTGTAACTGTCTGTCTGTAACATCTGTCATTGTCTGTAACATCTGTAACTGTCTGTAACATCTGTAACTATCTAACATCTGTCACTGTCTGTAACATCTGTCATTGTCTGTAACATCTGTAACGGTCTGTAACATCTGTAACGGTCTGTAACATCTGTCACTGTCTGTAACATCTGTAACGGTCTGTAACATCTGTAATTGTCTGTAACATCTGTAACTGTCTGTAACATCTGTAACTATCTAACATCTGTCACTGTCTGTAACATCTGTAACGGTCTGTAACATCTGTAACTGTCTGTAACAGTCTGTAACATCTGTAACTATCTAACATCTGTAACTGTCTGTAACATCTGGAGGATTTTCTGTCTAATTTCTGGATTAAAATCAAAATCCTCTCCCGCTCAGACCAGTCCAGTGGTTACTAATATAACCACATACAGCTGTGGTGAGTGTACAACATCTGTCATCATGTTTAACTTGTGTAACATATAAGATGTGTATCAGACTCAGACAGGAATCTATATAATGTTTACGATGTCCCCTCCTCCCCCACCCCTCCCACCTCCCCAGATTCGTTGGACTAAGACGGCGGGCGGAGCCTCGGACCGTCAGGGCGACTCCTCTCTGCACAACGAGACTCTGAGGATAAAAACCATCAGCCGCCACCAGGGGGGGCGCTACTACTGCAAGGCTGAGAACGGCCTGGGGTCTCCGGCCATCCGCTCCATACGAGTCGACGTCTACTGTGAGAACACACTCTCTGTATCATGGTCAGACCTCAGTGTGTGTAACGATCTTTCATTTACACATTCACACAATCTCAAAACACAAATATGACGATGTTAAAAAACACGGGGGTCGATGACGCAGGAAACGCCACAAAGACACGTAACGTCTTAAAGAGTCAGTTTCCACCAGGAGCTGCACTTAGTGACCGTGGAGAGGAAAAACTTCTTTTTGAGGTCGATGGACGTTTCTATTAATATCTTTGCGATAATGCAGCGTGGAAATATGGTTTGAATGTTGTTGTCTGTCGACTCTCCACTTTCCCTCGTATATTCTTGCGAGATCAAACATTACCCATCGCCTCTGAGATTTGGTCGAGTGACAAGACGACAATTATTAATTTCATTTTAGGCATTTACCTACTATTTTACTCACATGTTGCTCTATTTTTATGACCCTACAGACTTTGGTAAATCCATTTCAAGCAACAAAACAATCAGTGAAGGTTTGTTTTCAAGAGATTTGAAGAATTTCAAAATCCAGGTTTCAACTTTTCAGCATTTGGGCCAAACGATCTGTTTGCTCTACGACAAAAAGGCGCCTCATGACAGAAAGCTGAGATTGTTCTGAGAACTGTGACATAAAGCACTTGGGTATTATTTTATATGCAAGATGCCTTTAAAATGTGAACTTCAGAAATAATGTAGAAAGCGGGAAAATGCCTCTTGACCTCTAAAGGTTAAGAGGCATGAGACTCAGGGGGGCGGGGCTATCTGCCAACCGAATGATTCTCTTTGATCGCTCCATAACAATGTCACAAATCATGAGCCGTGTTTTCCTGGTTTTTGTTGTTGGATGCAGGTGTCATTGACTGTTACCATGGTAACAATGGACCTGAGTTAGTCTGGGAGTAAGGTGTCTAATGTCTTTGTCTTAAAATGAGTCAAACAGTCCGACATCAGACCGATCTACGGACCGACACAACAGATGAGTCTGACACATCTCTGTGAACTTTGACCCTGACCTGTCTGGAGCTGCAGGAGACGGCGTGGTTAGAAACACTCGATGACGATCAGCTGATAAACGATTGTCTTGGACCAAACTGAATCATCTCTGTGATTGAGGCTTTGCAGGATGTAAATGAGAGCACATGGCGTCCCTGCAGGACTGAGGAGCCGCGCGGCGTCCTGGTTCTTTTTGGCAGAAAAACTTTTTCTGGCAGGAACAAATCAAAACAAGCTGCAGACTGCCTCTGTGTGTTTACTTCATTCAGGTTAATCCTCTTCCTCCTGCTGAGAGTCTCATGTGTGCACAGTAAATATGAAGCTACAGCCAGCAGCTGGTTAGCTTAGCTTAGCATAATGACTGTTTCTTTAACTGGTTTTTCGATTGTGAGATGGTTGATGACTGAGGCCTCAGGTCTGTTGGATTAAAGAGCAGTCACTGACTTCCTGCTGCTGTTTTCAGTCAGCTGATGGTATTAAAACCTCCCGCTGACCTACATGTCTCCTCCTCACGTGTGACAAACGCTTTGTGTTGTTATTTGTGCGACTCGTTGCTGATTGTTGTCGACCTACATGTGTGGAAACCAAGTGCGGAGCTGTTTTCCTGCGGCGGCGGTGTTTCTCCCCCGGAGCGCTGCTGGCTGAAGATCTGTCACAGCAAACATGAGAAGGGATGTTTCTCTCTGAGGAGACGTCAGCTTCTGTTCATGTTTACAGCTACAACTGGGACGTTAAAAATCCCAGTAAAGCCAGTAGAGAGGCGTCCTCTGGGTGTTTTTATGCAGCGTTCCCCTTCATGTACTTTGCCTGAAAAGTTTCCTCCAAAGACGAACAAGAGGAAAGAATCGCTGCAAACTGAGAGTGTTGTTGTATGAAAGCCATAACATGCTAGAGGATGTTTTTTACTGGGATTACAGGGATTGAAGTGGTACCTGAACGCATCACGGCTGACTGCTTCCTTCAGGGCACACGGGCTTTTACACAAGATTTCTTCTGTGAAGCTGCAGGAGGAAACAGGATAAATCATTACCGCAGTCCCTGAACACCACCCTGACCTGCAGCTGATACAGCATCACTCCCAGTGCATTATGGGAGTTAACAGCAGGTGGGGTCGGCCTCTGTGTAATTGCAGCTACTGATGTGTTCAGGGTGCAGGTCGGACTTTGGCGTTGCTCTGTGTGAAGCGGATTAGCGTCGATTAGCCTCTCTGCCGGTGGTGGCTTCAAAACTGGACTCATTAACGCAGTGGATTCTGATTGGTCGGCTGCTGTCAGCTGATCGGGGAGCTCACTGTGCGTCCAGCCAATTAAAAAGCCTCTGGCTCTGCAGTAATTACCCCCAACACAGGAAAACTGCCCCACTGTTTGGAACAGATGAACAACAGTAATTTCAGAGGAACGTCCTCCGTCTTTGTTTCTGTGACTGTTTCCACCTGAGCTGCAGGTGACAGTGATGATGGGTCTGATTCTGTTAGAACCGTGGTTTCTCAGACAGATGGAACCCAAAGTGTGTCAGTAGTGTGATGTTCCACCACGAGCCTCCAGAACATCTCGTCTCCTTGTCATAAATTCTTCAAGTGTACTGAACTCCACTGGAGAGATAAACAAGGTTCTACTACAGAACGTTCCTCTTTTGGTGTTTAACCACCTAGACGGGCCCTGAAATCCACAAAGGCCCACTAGAACCCCCTGGAGGACTATTAGGACCTCTTCAAGGACCACTAAAACCTCCAAAAGAACCTTAGATACTCCTAGGGAACCAGTAGAACCTCATCAGTGGGTACTGCAACCTCTACACCCGAACCTTCTAGAAGAACTCTAGAACCTTGTCAAGAGGAAACTATGTTCTCTCAATGACCTTTAGAATCTCCAAAAGACTCTGACAAACTCAGGGAACCTCTAGAACCTCTAAAACATCCTGAATGATCCAGAACCTCCTCAGTAACCACCAGAACCTTCTTAATGACCATCTGTAGAACCTCTTCAGTGAACACTTAAACCTTCTAAACAACCCCTAGAACAACCTAAATAACCTCTAGAACCTTTGGATCAACCACTAAACCATCCAACATGATCCAGAACCTCCTCTGTAACCACTAGAACCTCTTAAAGGATCCATAGAACCTTCTTTAGGTTCTATGGATCATTTCATATGGATGAAATGAAAGTAAAACCAGACGTGTTCTCATCCTGGAGCCAGGTCTGACCTTTAATCTGTCACCTGTGAAACAGTCCAGCAAATAATAAATGAACTTGGTTCCTCAAACCTGGGAAACGTTTAAAGAGTTTGTTCTCCTAAATGACATAAAGAACATTCTCGTCTTCTGTCAGGCCTGCCGCTCTGCTCAGACAGGTTTGGTTTCATGTGTCCAGGTCTGGAGATACTGAGCGAACAGACGAGCCTCTGTCCGTCATACAGAAACAGACTGAGCTTCAGTGATTCACACCCACATGCTGACGTTTGATCTGTTCTATAAATATAACGTATATATATTGTGAAGTTTGATCTGTTGTCTGTTATTAATATTTAAAGATGTTCCTCCTCCTCAGACCTGGACGACCCGGTGATAACGGTGCATCAGAGCGTCGGTGAGGCGAAGGAGCAGTTCTACTTTGAGAGGACGGTGTTTCTTCGCTGTGTCGCCAACTCCAACCCACCTGTTCACTACACCTGGAGGAGAGGCAGGGAGGTGCTGACGCAGGGCGCCGACTCCGGGGTGGAGATCTACGAACCGTTTTTTACACAGGTGAAGAAACGTCATTAAATCCGGTCCGTGGGTTACGGAGGAAATTCAGTGTCAAATGTGACGATTTAGAATCAGAAATCACAAATGAATCTTCTGATTAACAAACAAACACAGAGCTCTCGTCTGCAAAAACACCAAAAAATAAATATAAAAATAAAATAAAATACAATAAAATCAATACAGTACCATGCAATTAAATTGAATACGTTTGAATTATTGTTATTGTAATTATTATATTGTCTTGTAGGAAAGATGTTTTTTCCTTACATGTTGTGAGATTAATGAAGTAAAAGTTGGTCAAAAGTAAAAAATAATAAAAATAAGAAGAAGAAGGAGAATTAACTTTAACAAAGTCACAAAGTGATTTAAATTGGAAAATAGATTTAAAAAGATCCATATACAAAAAATAAGATAAAAATAGTGAAATAAATAAATCATATACATAGAATATTGTGTAAGTTAAAAACTGAGCGTCAGCCCAGCTCCAATAAAAGGCTTTTTTAGGTACAAAGTTGTTGGAGTGATTTAATAGATATTAATTTCAGAAACATGTTTGTCCTCTTTAAGTCATTTTCCATTTATTCACTTTGTCATCACAGTTTTTATGTATTTCCTCAGTGACTCAGGTTCCACTTTATTTGCCTGTAGACAGAAAGTCTACAAATGAAAATGTTGCTGTTTTGTGTATTTCAGATTTTTATAGATTGTAAAACGTCTGTGTGGTGAGACGGTGACGTCGCTCTCTCTCAGGACTCGCTGTTAACACTCTCTTTAGTCTCATTCTCACTCTGTGATTCCTCCCGAGGCTTCAGGCGCTCGTCCATCAGCTTGGTCCAAAAATAGTTAAGAGTTTGATTTTTGTCCAGTTTCAGCTTCACACAGACGTCAGAACCTCGACAGGTTTACACAGACTAAAATATGAATATGTTATCAGGTTTTTTTTTAGCAGCGGGGGCAGGCCAGTCAACCCTCCAACCAATCAATCAATATCATCAATATTTTAGTAAATAAAAGGAAAATAACAAAAATGTAATTTCATCCAGATCCAGAAATAACAGCGTCCTCAGTGTCTGAACTGAAGGTTCCTCCATCACATTTATGTCCCTTACTGTGTCCATGTATTTACAGACCTTTACGTTCTGCTGTGGCCTGTGAAAAAGTAATTAAGTCTTAAACATTAATATGGAAGCCCTGAGAGGCCAGTAAAAAACTTTCTAGCAATCTAATGAAATTTGTTTTGACGAATTTACTAATTTATTTATTTATTTTGTCATCTGTATAAACAAACCCAGAGAGGAAAAAACTAAACAAAAGAAAAAACCAAAGAACAAACTGATGAAATAATATTTACTTGGGGGGAAAAAAGACTTATACTATCTCAGAAGCATTTCTAGCCATCTGATTTTTTTTCTTCTTCCCAAAAACAAATAATAATAATAATAATAATAATAATAATAAAATTCACTCGGCTCTCGGGGGTTGTTTACACAGAGGAAGAAATCCTGGCAAAAGAACCAAACCTTTCAGAGCCACCGTGGGTGTTGTTTAAGACGTAATTGCTTTTTTCAGGCAACCAGTAGAATTTAACCAGATACACGTCGCTCCCATATGATTTCTCCTGTTATCAGTCCAAAATATAACAGGTTAGTGTCCTCAGGAGTCTCATGAAAATATGTCCCAGGGTTATAAACATCTCATATCTTTCAACATGAACAGGGGATGTGGGGACGATTATGTGTCCACACAACCTGCAGAGCCGCTGTCGAGCTGCTAAGTTGTTTATTTTTACTGTGAGCCGTGATCTGTTTGCGGCTGTGTTAATGAACCAGACACAGGAAGGAGCCCTGGACCGGAGCCTGTGTTGGTCATTGTCGATCCTCGACCTCTCAGAGTTCAACAGTTTGAAATACCAGAGTCGTCCTGTAGTTCAAACCTCCTCCTCCTCCTCCTCCTCCTGTGGATTAAAACCTCTGCAGATGGAGGTTCCACATTTGTCTTTTTTTTCTTTTGGCAGTGGTTTAGATTTAATTTGGAGCAAAGGCAAGCCGGCCAATCGGGCGGCCAGTTAGCGGGCCGTGCAATACCGCAGCAGAGATAACATTCACGCCAGATTTGAACGCTGTCAACTGTAATGCCTTCAGCGTCAAGCTCGTGAACTCGTTAACCCCTCCCCCCTTTGCCCCTTCATCCCTCCTCGTGGGCCCTAATGAGGAAGTTATCTCCTCCTCTTCCTCCTGCTCCTCCACAGCCAAAAAAAAAATTGGCCGCCATCTTTGCACAAACATCCCATTTAAATGTCATCTAATCTCATCTCATCTGTCCGTAAGGCGGGAGGCAGCGCCGAGGCTGCCAGAGGAGATGAGAGAGATTTGGCAGCGAGGAGGAGGGAAGAGGAGGAGGGGGAGAAGGAGAGGGAGGAAAAGGGGGAGGAAGACGGAGAGGTGGAGAACTGAGGGAGAAGAGGAGGAGGAGGAGTGTGTGATTGATCAGATGAATATCAAAGACTTAGTTCGGTTCATTTACTCCAGTTTTTTTGGATTAAAAAAAAGCATCAAAAACTCAGTGGAGTTTTGAACTGAGGACTTTGATTCATCTCTAAAGTTTGTACAATTTCTACAACATTTACTATTATTGTTGATTTGATTTAAATTCTATTGAAATTCTTTTTTTATTTTATTTCAATTTGCATTCTGTTATTCTATTTATAATTTTTTTATTTATCCTATTTTTTTTAAAAACTCTTGAAACTTGAAAATATGAATTAATAAATAAGTGTGTGTGTGTGTGTGTGTGTGTGTGTGTGTGTGTGTGTGTGNAATTTCTACAACATTTACTATTATTGTTGATTTGATTTAAATTCTATTGAAATTCTTTTTTTATTTTATTTCAATTTGCATTCTGTTATTCTATTTATAATTTTTTTATTTATCCTATTTTTTTTAAAAAACTCTTGAAACTTGAAAATATGAATTAATAAATCAGGATCTTTTTAGATACATAACATGCAGCCTGTGTGTGTGTGTGTGTGTGTGTGTGTGTTTCAGGGCGAGACGAAGATCTTGAAGTTGAAAAATCTCCGTCCTCAGGATTACGCCGACTACACCTGCATCTCCTCCGTCAGGAACGTCTGCGGCATCGGAGACAAGAGCGCCCACTTCAGTCTGAGCAACAGGACGGGTACTACACACAAACCCTCAAACCTGCACTACTGTACTTCTGAGGACCTGGAGGTTCACTAACTGTAATCCAGTCCTAGTTTTGACTTTGATCGTAGACCAGATTCAAAACCCTGGAATTATAGAAATATAGTTTGACACAAGGTCAGTGTGTTTACAGGTTCAGGATCAACACATACTCTCTTTTGATGAAAGACTGAATTGGCAAATGAAAAATGGAAACTGAGCAAAATGATAATAATAAAATAAAGTTTTATTTAAGTAGCATATTTCAAAAACAATGATACGAAATGCTTTACACACAACAACAAATAAAAGTATAAAAACAAAGATAGAAGCAACAAATCAGCAGGTGAAACTATCTGAAAATCATAAACACTGAATCACTGAATCCAGTTTTTTAATTTAATAACACTCACTGATTCAAGTCAAATACAAATTTAAAACAACATTTTCATATGGACATTTCCTTAAATTAGTTTTTCATTCGTTAAATTGGTTTAAAATTTTAGTTTTTTCATTATCTACACTTGTCTTCTTTACTGTCTTCATTTATATCTGTAAGTTTTTTTTTTTACAAAAACAAAAATGATGCATGTTAAATCTAAATGATGACGTAAAAGAAAAGCAGTTGATCTATCTTATGTTTATGACATAAAAATACAATTTTGACTTAGTCTTCCACACTTGATATAAAATACTGCATAAATGCAATTTTCCTCTCTGTATTAGTTCAGTTTAATCTCTCTCTACCTTGTACAGTTGGATGAATGTAAATCATAAATAAATCATTTTCCTCTCTGAGCTCAGACTGCAGCTCTCTGACCTGTACAGTAGATCTGCTGCCCTGCCCCAGGGGCTGATGGGATTTACATGATGTCAGCTTAACAGAGGTCGACTCAGCTATTTTTATCACCCTCATTATTATTTCTGCATTTAGCTGCTTTTCTGCAGCCGGTGGAGGCAGCGAGTCGCTCTGCAGCTTTTTATTTCACAACAGGAAGCTTTTATTCTCTGTTTCTGCAGCAGGAAGGTTGATCATGATGAATTATTCACAATTGATGGGATGTTTAAAACCTTTTAAAATGTGAAAAATGTATATATTAGCCATAGAAAACTCCCATGATCCACCTGCAAATGAACTGACCAACATGATGCTGAAAACGTCCTAGAAAACATGTGAAAAATTTAAATAAGAATCACAGATATAAACATTAGTGTCACATGATAACACAAAAACCCCATATTATATATATCCCACAGCAGTGTGCATTCAAATATGATTAATCGTTAAATAAATAAATACATAATCTCTGTTTTATATCAGAGTAACCTGATCATCTTCAGGTTTTGGAAAGTTGCTCAGATAAAACAAGGTTTTTAAATATGGCAGCTTGGACTCTGTTGTGTTGTTGTTGTATTTTATAAAACATGAATTGATTCATCTTTGCCCTAAAGCTGTTTTCTTGTTATGTTTCTAACTTACATAATTTGAGGAGACAAAAAGATAAACCATACACTGTATCCTGGAGAGTGTGTTTTTATTCCGTACATACAGTGTTGTGTTGTTCATATATGTGCTTAATGTGCAGTAATGAGGTGTATGTGTTAGAATCAAGGTTATAATAGTTTTATAGATTTTTTGGTTTTTATTTTCATTTTGTTTTGACATTTTGTTTTTAATTTCAGTTTATTATTATTAGTTTTTTAAGCAGGTTTGCACTTTTAGTTTTCACTTTTTGAAAATGTTTAGTTTTATTTTAGTTTTTTATTAGTTTCAGTTTTTGTTTTGTTTTTTTGAATATGAAATACTTGTCAACACGTGTCTGTGTGTATGAAAGAACCAAAACTAAAGACATTTTCCTTATAATTTTGTTTTGTTGTAGTTTTGTAAAGACACTAAACAGTTTTTTTTTGTTTTTATTTTTAAGTTTATTTTTTGTTTTAATTAATGATAATAACCTTGGTCAAAATTTATCACTTGGATCTTGAATCTGCATTTGTTTTGCATTTTTAATCTTTTTGACATCATGGACACAAAACTGAATTAACCTTGGTTAAAAATCCTGAATGCTAATTTAACGAAAAATAGAATATGAATTAAAAATCATAAACCAGGAAAGAACAGAAGTGAAGTTGAGTTGTGAAGAAAGAAAAACGGATCAATAAAAGTGAGAAGTTGAATAATAATTATTAATAAAGTAAAACTAAGTTTAACGTTTTCTCCTGCTCCTCCCCTCAGCTCCTCCCTCCATCAAACTCCTCCTGGACGACCCCCTGGTGGTGAACCCGGGGGAGACGATCACTCTGGTGTGTGTGGCGTCGGGCGGAGACCCTCCCCCCACCCTGATCTGGGTGAAGCCGGGAGGGGAGGAGCTCCCGAAGAGGTGCGTCGTCAACGGCGGCACCCTGACCATCCCCGGCGTGACTGTTGATGACGGCGGTGCCTACAGCTGTGTGGCGTCCAACAACGTGGGAAACCCCGCCAAGAAATCCACCACCATATTAGTCAGAGGTGCGACATTCTCTTAATGTTCTTAATGTGAAAATCTCGTGGTTGACCTCGTGGTTGACCTCGTGGTTGACCTCGTGGTTGACCTCGTGGGGAGGTGAGTTCCCATAAGGCCGTGTGTTTACTTTTGTTTATGATCCGAATCCTGTAGAAGTAATGACGCTCCCATTATATAATGTCACCATCTAACACACTAAGATTGAACCTGCGAAACATCAGCATGTTAGCATTGTAACTGTGAGCATGTTAGCATGCTGCTGTTAGCATTTAGCTCAAAGCTAAACCTTCACAGCCACCTCACACTGTGATTGGTCAGCTGTGTGGAGGTATGAAAGTGGGCGGAGTCTCTCATTTTTCTTGTGAATAACTGAGGCCAACACGTCATGTCTACCAGGAGAGACTGAGTGAAAATCTTCTCTGTTGTCCACATTAGTAGCAGTGACGGCTGCAGCTAACAAATGTTTTTATCATAAATTAATTAGCTGATTATTTCCTCAATTCATTGATTGTTTAGTCCATAAAATGTTTGAAATTTTACGCACTAAACAAAAGTGTTGAGCTGAATGTCCAAAAACACAAAGTTCTTCAAATGTCTGAAGCCTGTAAATCTTTGGCAATTTTTCTTGAAAAATGAACCAAATCATTAATCAGTTATCAGATTAATCTGCAATTAGCTTTCTGCCGATTGACCAATTGATTAATTGACTTGATTGTAATACAGTGCAGCTCTAGGAGCAGACTGTCACCGCAGCTTGTGCAAACAGTAACATGGGGATTGACTCACTGTTGGAGCCAGACTCTAGTGGTCATTAGAGGAACTGCAGTTTCTCCCTGGATATTCAGCCGCGGTACGAACACTGTGACTCTGGTTTTGATCCTGATACACCACCGTCCTCTGTCAGAGACAAACAGCAGATTTGTCACAGTCTCTCTGAGACGACTCTGTTCCTCGACGGCTTCTTTTATTTCTCACGATACTTTAATGATGTGAAACAACGGACGTGTGTGTGTATATTTTTGGAAAGAGTCAGACGTGAGAATTTTGCTCCTCTGGGATTTAGTTTCAGCTCTAACAGTGTCTACCTGTTGGAAGGTGTTATACCTTTCTGTGTCAGCGTGTTCAGGTGAGTCCTCGGCTTTAGTCTCTGCAGGTACAAAGACTCACACACGTCTTAACTTGTTGTTGTGAATGTACAAGCTGCTGCAGAATCGACCAGAATAGATTCAGCACATCCACAACAAACAGAGCGTTTATCTGCGTCTGTGCAGAGACGTTACGCTCTTAGATTATTTCAGTCTTTGTAAATCAAATCATCCACCTCCTCCTCCTCCTCCTCCTCTCGGCTGCTGCGTTGTAGTCGTTTCCTGCAGCACCCGTCCTGAACGTCATCAGCACTTTTGTGAAGTTTTGATGACGCGTCGCGCCTCGACTTTGAGAGGATAAGAAGAAAATCAGCACGGAGCGATAACAGGCGTTTATTTTCAGAATAAAAGCTGATGTTTAAACACAGCAGGATTTATTAGAACAGAGACAGAAAGGCTCTGATAACACTGATTATATATGATCCACAAAGATTACAGATTAAAATACATTTAAATATAACTGAGTCATCACTTTAGTCTGAAAGTACAGTTCAAACACACAGTCTGTTTCCTCAGTTCACTGAACTCAGGTCAGTTCACTCATGATGAGAGAGGTAAAGAGGGATGATGATGATGAGGAGGAGGAGGAGGCAATGAAGGACATGGGAAGTGGTGCAAAGGAGATGGAGGAGGGGGAGGAGTGGAGAGTGATAAGAGAAGAGGTGATGAAGGGTGAGGAGGAGGCGAGGATGATGGATGCTCTGATAAACAAACATGACAGACAGGAAGCTCCTCGCTCTGAGGAAACCCCCTGCTGTGTGTGTGTGTGTATGTGTGTGTGTGTATGTGTGTCACTGAGAAAATGTTGGAGCATGAAAATGCATTTTCAATCACAAAAAACAGGAAATTAGCTTTAGCTAACGTTAGCTGTGGAGTGGTTTTACATAAGAACAAGATTCGCCGTGATGAAAATAATATGTCAAAGCAGCGCAGACAGAGAGTCTGAGCGTTACACTGGTAAATGTCGGTGTAAGCTGGTGACGCAAAGAGAAAATCCTGCGTAGATCAGACGGTTTCAGTTCAGCCTTCGTGGTCGACGGAGGTCCGTCCTCCGTCGACCACGTCCTCTGAGGGACGCCGTCCCTGAACTGGGACACAGCTCCTGGTCTTCACTCAGTCCTCAGCTTGTGGTTTAATTGATGTGACGTTCACTGGTCAGTGTTGAAGTGAAATGATGGTTTCACTGCCTCAAGAGCAACAGAGAGGAGGAGAGGAGGAGGAGGAGAGGAGGAGGAGGAGGAGGAGGAGAGGACGAGAGGAGGAGAGGACGAGAGGAGCGAGAGGGAGGAAGGAGGAGGAGGCAGGAGGAGGAGAGAGACGAGAGGAGGAGAGAAGGGGAGCAGGAGGAGAGGGAGAGAGAAGGAGAGTAGGAGAGGAGGAGGAGGAGAGGAGGAGCGGAGGAGGAGGACGAGGAGGAGAGGAGGAGAGAAGGAGCAGAAGGAAGGAGGAGAGAAGAGAGGAGGAGAGAGAGGAGGAGAGAGGAAGGAAGGAGATGAGAGGAGCGAGAGAAGGAGAGGAGGAGAGGAGGAGCGTAGAGGGAGAGAGGAGGAGGAAGGAGGAGGAGAGGAACGGAGAGAGAGGACGAGAGGGTGAGAGGAGGGCAGGAGGAGAGGACGAGAGGACGAGGGAGGAGGAGATAGGAGGAGGAGCGAGAGGAGGAGAGAAGGCAGCAGGAGGAGAGCAGAAGGAGAGAAGGAGAGGAAAGGAGGAGGAGAAGAGGAGAGCCGAGGGGGGGAGAGGACGAGGAGCGAGAGGAGGAGAGAAGAGAGAAGGAGAGGAGGAAGAAGGAGAGAAGGAAGAGGAGGAGGAGAGGAGGAGGAGGCAGAGAAGGGAGCAGGAGAGGAGGAGGAGAGAAGGATTGAGAAGGAGAGGAGGAGAAAGAGAAGGAGAGGAAGGAGAGGAGGAGAGATGAGAATGAGAGGAGGAGGAGGGGGAGAGAGGGGGAGGACGAGGAGGAGGAGAGGAGAGGAGGAGAGAAGGAAGGAGGAGGAGAGGATAGGAGGACGAGGAGGAGAGGAGGAGGAGAGGAGGGGGAGGAGGAGGCAGAGAGGAGAGGAGGGGGGAGTGAGGAGGAGTGAGAGAGGAGGAGAGTAGGAGAGAGCAGGAGGAGGAAGAGGAGAGGAGGAGAGGGGGAGAGAAGGAGAGAAGGAGAGGGAGGAGGAGGAGGAGGAGAGAAGAAGGAGGGAGGAGAGAAGGGAGAGAAGGATGATGAGGAGAGGAGGAGGAGGCAGGAGAGGAGAGGAGGAAGGAAGGAGGAGGAGGAGGAGAGGAGAGGAGGAGAGAGGAGAGGAGGCAGGAGAGAAGGAAGGAGGAGAGAAGGAGAGAAAGTTAGAGAGAGACGGAGGAGGAGGCGAGGAGGAGAGGAGGAGAGGAGGAGGAGGAGGAGGAGGAGAGGGGGGGGGGGGATGTGTGCACAATAAACCAGAACCAATCAGTATCCTGCTTCAAGTCCAGAGACAGAGGAGGTGGTGGAGGAAGAGGCTGTGATGAGGAGGAGGAGGAGGAGAGGAGGAGGAGTGATAGTCAGTGTCTGAGTGATGAACATCTGGAAACCAGCTGCTGTCGACCACATCAGCTTCAATAAAGTTCAGAGAAAAAAAAGAACATGACATTGAAATGTTAAAGCTGTGACATCATCTGTGACATCATCTTAACTCAGGGTCACTGTTCTGGACCTTTCAACACAATCTCATTGTCTTCATCAGCAGTACTACTTTACTACTACTGCACACACACAGTACTACTGTGTACTGACAGTACTGGACCTGTGTGTGTGTGTGTGTGTGTGTGTGTGTGTGTGTGTGTGTGTGCGCGCAGTGACTTTCGTGTGTAAGCCACTGCATCCATTCCTAGTTATGCAACAGACCTTTTACTGACGCAGTGAAACACACACACACACACACACACTCACACACACACACACTCACACACAGGGTTTTGTTCTGAGGCGTTCTTCTTTAATCTTAATGAACAAGGACAATCAGCTGCTCGCCTCATGAACTGAAGCTATTTATACACACACACACACACACACACACACACACACACACACACACACACACTGTGATCTGAACTACAACCTCCTGGCCTGTCTGCAGACTGCAGTGTGTGTGTGTGTGTGCATGTGTGTGTGTGTGTGTTGGCGGGGACCCCACACTTCTTATCCAGCTGTTCAGTGTTGCTGTAATTAGAAAGAGAATTGATAAGATTTTATTGAAACATTATTGATTCTGCTGTTCTTTATTGATTCCCTGAATGATTGCTGATCAATTCTGTGTGTGAGCAACAGTCGTCCGACACAGTCACACCTGTGAGACTTCCTGTTAGAAATGTTCAAATATCAACTATTATTTATAGAGATGTGCGTCCATATTGTCCAGTGAGCTCAGCTAATCAACATTTTAAATTCAGTATTCAATCAATAGTCAGTATCCATCCACACAGGCCAGAGTTGTAACTAAACCTTGACTGGACCAGATGATCCTCGTCTTGTTTTAAATGTGAGACATAAATGATCTGGACCGGTCCAGACTCCGCCGACGTGCGATGTTCTTTTCTTTACCGGCTGCAGTTAAATGTGACACTTGAAGGTTTTTTTTATCCAAAAGAAACAGGAAGCCAGAGTCACCTCCTCGTGGTCGTATCCCTCCGCCACTCAGACTAGTTCCAGGTTACATCCCTGTTTATCCAGAGTCACAGAAAATATGAACCATTGGTGGGAAATTTTGTAATAATTCCTGTGAAGTCTTGAGTTATGGCTAAAAAGGGTTTTTGTGAGGTCACACTGACCTTTGACCTTTGACCCCCAAAGTCTAACCAGTTCATCCTTGAGTCCTAGTGAATGTTTTTACCAAATTTGAAGGGATTCCCTCAAGGCGTTACTGAGATATCGGGCTCACAAGACCAAAACCTCATTTTGTGAGGTCACCGTGTCCTTGACCTTTGAACTTTAGCCACCAGAATCTAATCACGGTTCTGTCAAGGTGTTACTGAGACAACTTGAAAACAAAATGGCTGCTGCTCTGACTGTCGCTGGGCGGAGGAATGAAAACATTAACTGACAGAAACATGATGAAGCTCCTCCCCTTTTAGGAACATGCTGGATGTTTTGACATCAAACACAGTTTTTTACCGTTCAATAAGAGACGTGATCCTGGTCCTGGTCCTGGTCCTGGTCCTGGTCCTGGTCCTGGTCCTGGTCCTGGACATGACTCACTGCAGATGAAACTGAGCAGCAGGAAAACTGACACACGTCAATCTGAACAGACGTTAGGATGTTGACGATGGAGTGTTTGATACTGTTACTACAGTGTGACTGTCAGTCAGGTGAGCTGTCAGTCAGGTGAGCTGTGTGAACACAGGTAATGAATCCTGTCAGACGTCGTCCCACTGAGCTGGAAACCAGGATCTTCAGTGAGAGAGTGAGAGCAGCAGCAGGACGCTCACAGGATTAAACTGAACAAATGGCCTCAGTCATAATTAAGCCCCATTTGGACGGATTAGTTTCTCCACAGCAGGAAGGGTAATTGTAATCATTTAAAGTACGAGGAGGGACTGAACTCCGCGGTCTCTGTTCTGGTTCTGGTTCAGGTTCTGGTTCTGGTTCTGGTTCTGCTGCAGGAGCCAAACCGACTGTGATCAGAGTGATGGAGTCCTGGAAGCCAAAAAGAACAACTTCTGATGAGTTCTGGTTCAGAGCCTCAGACTCTGACTGTTTGGTTTCCGTGGTCGGTAGAGCGGAGTGTCATCGGCGTAGCAGTTTGTTTCTGAATGATTTTACCTTAAAGACCTTCCCCTGAATAATTATCCATGTGATTTTAGTCATACGTGTTGACACTGACTCCTGGACATTAGCATGTTGCTGTGTTTTGGGACATTTCCTCTTTTGGTCAAGTTTGTCTTCTTTTATCCATCTGTCTTCTGCAGGACTTCGTAAAGGTCGTTTCTGGATCACGCCCGACCCTTACCACAACGACGACAACATCCAGATCGGCCGGGAGGTGAAGATCAGCTGCCAGGTGGAGGCCACGCCGCCGGAGGAGCTGCAGTTCAGCTGGCTGAAGAACGGCCGGCCGCTGAGGAGCTCTGAGCGGATGGTCATCACCCACACCGACACCGACATCTCGCCGGGCACCACCAACCTCGACATCATCGACCTCAAATTCACCGACTTCGGCACCTACACCTGCGTGGCGTCGCTGAGAAACGGAGGAACCCCCGAGATCAGCATCGATGTCAACATCTCATCCACCACAGGTGAGTCTGTGGGAGGGGCTTTTACTCACCTGACCTGAAGAAGAACCGCAAACTTCCTGTCGTCAATCTTCAGCTCAGACATGAAGAAGATCAGAGGATTTTTAACAACCTGGTGTCAGAGACTCAAATGCTGACTCACTCCAGGGATCCTGTCTCATCTGACCTCATCCTAAATACACAAACCAACATCTGTATCAGCTGGTATGTCTGTTACCTAGCAACAGACCCTACTTCTCTCACTTCATGTCACTGAGGTGTTTCTGTAACTCATTAGATTTCTAATTGAAACGTCAGCCTCTCTTCTGATTGGCTGACTGTTTTCTGACTGATCCAATAAAAATACAGCAGATTTCAGGTAAAAACACTCAGAGAAACCAAATCCTGCAAGGTTTGGATGGTGGGTCCAGGTGGGCGGGGCTTGGTGACTGCTTTGTTGTGACATCACAAAGTTCCAGAAGTCCTGACGGCTGGTTTTAAGGCTCAGTTTCTGAATACAGGCTGTGTGCATTTCTCTGTGGACTGAGGCTTTGATACTTTCACAGTATTAATATAGAAGCTAGAGCTGATCTATAATCACACTACACATGGACACAGACCGTCACACTGGAGGAGCTTTGATACAGACAGAAGTTCAGTTTTATTTTAAGCATCATAAAGTAGTAAAATCTTAGATGTCTTGTATCACTAACATCAACATGGCGGCCTCAGCCATCCACTGATCTGTTGTTCAGCAGCTCAGAGAGATTCATTTAAGCAGAAGATGACACAGAGGGGCCACACTTCTCTACAACTTCCCGAGCTGCTGAGTTTCTGTCTCCACACTTTTCCCATGAGCCTCTGGGCATAAGTGAAAACTCATCAAACATCCTTTTAGATGTGACATGGACGTCTCCCTGTCCTGGTGTTTCTGCTGCCGGGTAAAACAACATGAAGCTGCAGCAGCACCTGCAGTAGTTGTTGTTGTTGTTGTTGTTGTTGTTGTTGTTCTTCTTCTTCTTCTTCTTCTTCTTCTTCTTCTTCTTCTTTCCTCCTCCTCCTCACAGTTCGGTCTCTGTGGAGAGAAAAGAAGCAGAACTTTTGCTTCACATTGTACAGATGAGCGTCTGCTGGTGGCGGCGGACTTCCTGTTTGTTTGTGACCTTGGCGGACGGGAAGAAAGCCTGAGAGGAGGGGAGAGGGATGGAGGGAGGGGGGGCAGGAAACATCGCTGCAGTCTCAGTCTGAGCCGTGTGACGCCAGCTGACGGATGTTTTGTGCTAAAGCAGAAGGTCGCACTCGGGTCGCTGCTGCGTTCCCATAAGGAAAATAAATGCTAAAACAGTCCAGCACCCCTCCCCCACCCCATCCTCCCTCAGCATCTCTCTCTCTCTGTTGTTAAATGAAGGACAAACTCCACATCAGAGAAGAAGAACTGCTGTTTACTGTTCTTACTCTTTGCTCCATCCATCATTCCAGGGATATTTGTTGGTGGTTTTGCTGCCTCCAAATACTACAATACCCATGAGCCTCAGCTGCTGTTGCTATGTAGAAGAGGCCAGTCAGAGGTGTGAATTCAGAGACAATTAGTTATGTAATTAGTTTATTTATTCGGGACAACACACAGTAACTCAGTCAGATTATTGCTGACGGAGGAAACACTGAAGGAGACACGTTGCCATGGTTACAGGACTCATCCAAAACTGACCCAGGAAATAAAGGTTACTGAATTTAGCTTCAGCTTCATCAGTAGCTCTGTGACCAGCTGCTTGCTAGTGAAATGCACCTTGGGAGATGTAGTTCACCTTAGTGCTGTTCGATTATGGCAAAAATCATAATCAGAATCATTTTGATCAATATTAAGATTGTGATTACTTATGATATGATTAATTACTCATTGATTTTGGAAACACCACCACCATTACTGAACTAAAAAAATCCTTGAACTTTAAATACAATTCAGTGAAACCAGAAACGTTGGTTGGTTTCTGGGGAAACGATGAAACGAGGAGGTAAATCCAGACACGAGAACATGAGACGTTTTGGTTTGAATCAAAAATAAACTGAGGAGGAAGAATTCACAACAAACAGACAACAACCATAAAAACACCTGTCTCTGTCCCTGCAGTTCCCCCGGAGCTCACCGTCCCCAGGGGGCGCTCCCACCTCATCGCTCAGGAGGGCGACACAGTGGACCTGCAGTGTCTGGTCTCAGGGAAACCCAAACCCATCATCCTGTGGTCTCGGGTGGAGGAGAGCGGCGCGGCGGCGGCAGCAGCTCTGATGCCGGATGGCTCGGCTCAGACGGAGAGCTACGACGGCGTCCTGAGGATCAGCAACGTGACGAGAGAGATGGGCGGGACCTACCGCTGCCAGACGAGTCAGTACAACGGCTTCAACGTGAAACCAAGGGAGGCCCTGATCCAGCTGGTGGTGCAGTGTGGGTAACACACACACACACACACACACACACACACACACACACACACACACACACACACACACACACACAATTTCCATACTGGTAATTAACCTTCATACAACTGCAGGAAATTACTTTAATAACAGTGTCTGTGGAAGTACTTTTACTGTGATAGTGTAACTACAGGAAGTACCTTTACTGTGATAGTGTAACTACAGGAAGTAATTTTACTTTGATACTTTAACCACAGGAAGTGGACCTCCTGACTTCCTCTTCGCTGCACGTTTCAGTTAGAAATCTCTCCTCAGCTGAAACAAGACGTAACATCTGCTCCAGATGTAAACAGACACCAGCAGCCAACCGCTTAAATACCCAGAGTGCACTGCGACGTTGACTCCTGAGCCCTGCAGGTGTCACATCATCCAATCACAGTGCATCACGTCCATCAGAGCAGACAGCAGCAGATCTGTGTGATAAAAACACTGTTTCCGTGGAAACACACACCGGCAGGTAGAGGCCGGACGCTCTGCTCGAGGGCACGCCGGCAGCCGCTGACAGACACATGCTGTCTGTCAGCGGACGGGGATCGAATCCACGACCTTCCAATCACGCTCCGTCTCACCTGCAGGGCAGCATGTCGCACAAAATACAGTCAGAGGATGTGACAGGAAGCTACGCACACACACACACACACACACACACACACACACACACACACACACACACACACACACACACACACACCACACACACACACACACACACACACACACACACACACACACACACACACACACACACACACAGCTCCTGGCTCCTGCTGCACTAAAAGGCTGTCAGACTGAATCTCTGCAGCTCGACTCTGACTCTCCTGAGAATCGATGTGGAAACAGTCGGAGGTCTGAGACGCTGACGACAAGTAAACATCCTGCACTCACTGATCACGTGATACGAAACAAAATATATATAATATGTAATATAATATGTTTTGTTTATATAATATAAACAAAATATCTTTATTAACAAAAGTCAGACGAGCAGAATGACAGAAGCAGCTGCAGCTGTGTGACTCTGTCTTCATGATTTCTTCATCCGCTCGCAGATCTGACTTCAACTTGACGTGTTTCAGATCCGTTGTCATGTGACTGACAGACGTGTTTTTACTCGCTGGCGACAGTCAGAGCAGCAGCCATGTTGTTTTCAGGTCGTCCGTCCGTCCGTCTGTCCCAATCTTGTGGACACGATATCTCTGTAAAACCCTTGACAGAATTTCTTCAAATTTGGCACAAAAATTCACTCGGACTCAAGGATGAATTGATTAAAATTTGGTGACTAAAGGTCAAAGTTCAAAGGTCAAGGTCATGGTGACCTTACAAAACGTGGTTTTGGGCTCGTGAACACGATATCTCTGTAACGCTTTGAGGGAACTTCTTCTTATTTGGCACAAACGTTCACTTGGAGTCAACGACAAACCGATTAGACTTTTGGAGGTCAAAGGTCAAAGGTCAAGGTCAGTTTGACCTCACTAATCACTTTTTAGCCATTACTCAAGACTTCACAGACATTATGACAAAATGTCACACAAATGGTTCATATTTTATGACTCTGGATAAACAGGATGTGACCTGGAACTAGTCTGAGTGGCGGAGGGATACGACCACGAGGAGGAGGTTCTAGTTTCAGACATGACAGTAAATACATGTTGAGTGTAGTGGAAACCAAACACCTCTCTCTGTCACTGTCGGTTCTTTGAAACAGATGAATTTACTTTTTAATTTTCAAATTTAAAAGTGGGACTTTTCCTGCAAGTTTTTCCCAATGTGTAAAAAGGAACATCTCTTCTTTAAATTCTTTCCTCTCTAAACTTCCTGCAGTGTGTTTGGTGTTTTCACTCTGCAACAACACTAAGCAGATTAAAGTGAGGGCAGATTACAGGTGGATTACTTTGAAATAAGTGAAACAACATTCAAGTCACATGCGACACAGATTTAAGTTCTCACTGTAAGCAAAGAGGAAATTACTCTGATCCTTCAGGAGAAGCTGCCGACTGAGAAACTCAACTGCACAATAAATAAATAAAGAAAGTAAAATCTGTGAGCAGAAAGCAGGTTGTGCATTAACTGCAGTGGACACGAGCATTAAACTGTATGAGCTCAGTATTTGTTTCTCTACAGTTTGTGTTATTGCTTGTTAATTATGTCCTGCTCTGATTTTAATGACTTTTCAAAAGTATGCTAATTATGTCCACATGAAGCTTGAAGATAAAACCTTGTGAGCAACATTTCAAATGAGCTGTTAGTAGGTTTTACTTTGACAATAATCCCTCACTGACTGTTGGTTTTTTTTTTTACTGGATTACGGGGACGACAGTGATGCGCAGAGGTGATGTCCCCACAATCCCTCTGACGAACATCCTCCTCTGGGGTTTTACACAACAAGTTACCAGCATGTACCGACTGAAAAGATTTCTTCAAAGTGCTGAACACACGAGAGAAAAAGAGGGGCCGTAGTCGTAGAATAAAATCCCCCCAGAGGATGTTTTTTAAGGTGGATTATGAGGACGTCAGTGATGTGTTACAGCATTCATATAGAAATGACCAGACTGTCTCCTGACTGAAGAACTACAATCCCCTCCTCCTGGTCGTTAACATCCCTGTTTATTCAGAGTCAGATAGAATATTAAACGTGTGTGTGAAGTCTTGAGTTATGGCTAAAAAGTGTTTTCTGTTATCTTAGCTCGCTGTCGGTGCTGTACTGGGCGACGCACAGATGTGGAGTTCTTTGGGAATGTCTTTCTTCTGGTTGATCCTCAGGTCTGCTCACTGTGTACAGATGTTGTGACAGGATGTTTTCTCCTGCATGTGCTGGTGTGTGTGTGTGTGACGAGACTGCAGTCCTGCGCTAACAGACAGAGCAAACTCACGCCCACGTCCGACCCTGTAACAACACGATAAGGATCGAACGCTTGATCACTGGTCGGTCCACCATCTTGTCTCTTGACTCTCTCCTTTTGATTCTTCCTGTTGTTGACCAGCTCCGTTTGGATTCTCCAGGTTTTGCCATGGATGGGATCTTTAAGCGACAATCAGACTGAGATCGTAAACAAGTATAAGATGTGGTCCGGTGTTGACAAAATAAAAGTTCCTATCGTTGGTTTATCACAGTGAAAGGTCGAGATACGAGAAAAACAACAACATCACTTTTGATTTAGGGACGTAAGTGTCATATATTATATTTCTGAATAGGTCGATTAGTAACATTGATATTGGGGACGTCAGTGATATGTTGAGACCCACCAACCCAGGAAAAGAGGGTTCAAGTTTTTATAACAGAAGGGACCAGACTGTTTACTGACTGAAGGTGTAGAAACAGGCAGAAGAATAAAAAGGTGGTCACAGAGTTACAGGACGGTTGTCTTCAAGAAGTGCTACGTGGACATCAGTGATGCTGCAGTCCTCACACTCCCAGAGAATGTTTCGCAGTGAGGAAGACGTCACAGTCCCAGGACTAAATGTGCAGCATGTATAACATTTATCAGAACTGATGGTGTAAAGCTGTAATTAGTGAATCATTAAAAGCAGCATCATGCTCCTTTAGTCCCGCTCTCACTGAACCAACGTCCGGTAAAGTTCATTTTTCTGGAGACTTCTTCAGTTGCTGACGAGTTGTTTTTTTTTTTGTTGAGTGTCGTATCAGAGCAGCTGCTCCTAAACCGTCTCTAATTAGGATCATTTGACTGAATTAAATTATCATGTAAATGAGATTATTCCTCTTTTGGCCCTGACGTGTCCCCGTAGAGCTGCTGCCGCTCCTCTAGAAGATCTGTAACACAAACATTATCAGGATTTAAACTGCAGCAAAGAGCAGAGATCATTAACCGTCTTGAGCACAGGGGCCAGTGGTGCATTATGGGCCAATCAGAACGCTCGGATGAAGGTCGCCGTGGGGCAGAGGCGTCCAGCTGACCTTTAGATGTTCCTGGACCAGGAGGAAGGTCTGGAAACATTTCTGGGGGGTTGAGATGAACTGCAGACCTTTATCTCTGTAACCTGTGTGTGTGTGTGTGTGTGTGTGTGTGTGTGTGTGTGTGTGTGTGTGTGTGTGTGTGTGTCAGCTGCTTAAATTGAATGACGTCTTGTCTCGTAATCTTAAACAGATTTACTTCAGAGGGAGAAGATCTGAGCTTGGTCTAGAAAATATTTCCGGCTGTTAAAGTAAAGAGTCAAACCAGTTTTGTGTTGATAAGTTATAAGATGAGACACGTCATCGGGTTGTTAACACTCACGAGAGTCGTTCTGCATGTGCGGAGTTAAAACCTTTAATGCCGGTGGACATCAGTTCAGACACGAGCAGCTCTTTGATGACGGAGTCGGTCACTCGTCCAGATAGAAACGTCTCGACATGTAGGGGCCACATTGTTTACGTTAACTGTGCAGATGTTGCGTTGCCCCATAAGATACACTCACAGAAACCAAATCCTGCAAGGATTGGATGGTGGGTCCAGGTGGGCGGGGCTTGGTGACTGCTTTGTTGTGACATCACAAAGTTCCAGAAGTCCTGACGGCTGGTTTTAAGGCTCAGTTTCTGAATACAGGCTGTGTGCATTTCTCTGTGGACTGAGGCTTTGATACTTTCACAGTATTAATATAGAAGCTAGAGCTGATCTATAATCACACTACACATGGACACAGACCGTCACACTGGAGGAGCTGTAAAGTCTAAACCTGATGAGCGGCTGATCAGCTCTGACTCTCAGCCTGATTTAATCATGTGGGTCTGAGCGCTGCCTCGTCCCTGGAGCCAGGCAGCGTTCAGTCGTCTGAGGATTCAGATGAATCCTCTCTCTGCTGCTGAGAGGTCAGAGGACGGTCGCTGCAGCTGCTGGCTTTTTGTCTGTTGATGGGTGTTTGACAGCAGGACGTTAATCTGCGAAGTGACACCTGTAATGTGGCTGAAATCCTCTGAGGAAGTCGCTGCAGGGATTTAGAGAGACAGATCAGACTCTGCCTTTGTGCCCTTTAGCAGAGCGCTGCAGCACAGAGGTTAATGCCCATCTGAGTTAAATATTTCACGTACTTAAGAGGTTTAAGGTTATTTTGGAGACATTTTTGGCTTCATTAAGGAGTGAAGTGAGAGCAGGAAATGAGATGCAGCAGTGACGTGAGTTAAATTTATTCCCCTTCAGTCGCATTTATTAATTTTATCAGTTGAAAACAGTGAGTCGGTGCTCAGGTAAGAAATCATGTTAAACTGAAAGACTCGAGACTCGTCCTGACAGACTTGAGACTCGTCCTGACAGACTCGTCCTGACAGACTCGAGACTCGTCCTGACAGACTCGAGACTCGTCCTGACAGACTTGAGACTCGTCCTGACAGACTCGTCCTTACAGACTCGTCCTGACAGACTCGTCCCGACAGACTCGTCCTGACAGACTTGAGACTCGTCCTGACAGACTGGAGACTCGTCCTGACAGACTTGAGACTCGTCCTGACAGACTCGAGACTCGTCCTGCCAGACTAGAGACTCGTCCTGACAGACTCGAGACTCGTCCTGACAGACTTGAGACTCGTCCTGACAGACTGGAGACTCGTCCTGACAGACTTGAGACATGATACTTGTTGTGAAAGCCTTCATAGTTCTGTGTTTCACTCAGTGTGTGGACAGAAGTCATTGCTCAGTAAAGACGGAGACGCTGGGAATTATTGGGACATTATTTCCAGTTGTATTGTCTGATGTTTTGTCTGTCTCTGTGTCCGACAGTCCCTCCGACCGTGGAGCCGGTGTATACGGAGATCCGTCAGGCTCTCGGCCGGGCGTTCAGCCTCACCTGCCGCCTGCTGCGAGCTCACCCGGCCCGCCTCCTGCGATACGAGTGGAAGCTGGGCTCCCGCCTCCTCACTGTCGGACAGTTCAGCGACCAGAAAGACGACACCAGCTACCACGTCCGAGCTCTAAACCGAGAGGGCTACGGCGAGTACACCTGTGACATCACCAACGAGGCCGGGGCGGGGCGCTGCACCTTCCTGGTCACGGGTGAGTCGGCTTGAGTGGAGCATGATGGGAACTTTGCTTTTGACTCGGAGCTGTGAAGAGGTTGGGTGACCTTGTGCTGATTCTGTCTGGTTATAGATCATCACCTGAAACGGCGAGACACTTGATGACTCGTTGACTTGAGACGTGATTTGAATCTGTCTCGAATGATTTGACTTGACACGGATTTGTCTTACGTGAAACTCAACTAATGAATGAATGTCTTAACAAGACGCGAGACTTGTCCTGTCAGACCTGAAAACTTGACAGTTGCTCTTGAGAGACTTGTCCTAACAAACCTGAAACTGACAGACCTGAGATCTGCCCTGACAGACCTGAGATCTGCCCTGACAGACTTTAAACCAGCGCTGCCTTCGTCCCTGTTGGCGGTGCAGCCTCCGAGTCCTGGTTTCCAGTTAACTCTGGTCTGATCCCGTCCTGCAGCTGCTGATGAGGTTTTGTTAACAGGCCTGAGGTCTGATGGGACTATTAGCTGTTTTCCAGCTCTGAGTGTTTACATCTCGAGGATGAGAACATGATGGTTAATTAGAGTTTATCTCATCTTTAAATCCTGTGCGCTGGCAGACAGAAGCGGAGAATCACCGAGCGTTTCCTCAGGGGAGTTTGAAGCGTCATAAATAATGTGCAGCGCTTCAGGAAACCTTCACATCCGCTCACACATCTGTACTCGACAACAAACATTTGACTCTCTGTTGTAAGATTAGAAAACTTCCTGCCTCTGATACCTGGCTGCCTCCTCTCTGTTGTTGGATTTGCAGCTGAGGTCTTCAAGGCTAAAAGATGAAAGACATGAATGTGTTGGAACTCTTCGCCGCCGTGTGATGAAAAAATAAAGCTTTATCTTTTACTTCTGCACATTTGCTGCACGTTCTGCATTATTTAAAGGACCACAGCAGAGTTTCCTCTGAACGTTTTTAGTGCATTAACTGTCAATTTAGATTTTATGTTTTCAACGTTTTTCTGTCCTAGAGCTCCAATAAACCATGTGGGCTTTTTAAAAACATTTGTTTACCTGGGTTTTCACCTCAATATCTAAACTTGTGTTGAGTTCTTGGAGCTCAGCCGCCACAGTGACGCCGACACGCACCAACAAAGGCAGGGACGTTAATAAACTGTCAGTTAAACTGGATTTAAAATGTAAATGTTTACGAGAACAGATGTAGATTCTACATGTGTCATTTCTTCTCTGCAGTGGATCAGTAGCTGGTGTCAGCAGGAGCCCTGAGCTCAGTTATCAGCGTCGTATCAGGGCAGAAGTCAGATGTCTGCGTGTTTACTCCGTGGATATAGAAGCCTGGTTTTAATCTAAAATGTAAATGTGGGGTCGTCTCAGACTGTGAACAGCAGACGTCACAGAGGAAGTGGCGGTTGGTTCCTCCGTCCTCTCCTGATGAAAGCTCCCCCGCAGAGACGCCCTGTCAGCGCTGCGAGACTCTTCCTGTGAAAAGCGGCGGCTGCGTTAAGCCTCTTATCGGGGCCGGCCGCCGAGCAGCGGCACGTTCTGCAGGCGGCAGCAGAAAGTGTTTAAAGAGGGGAGTTGTAAGCTGAGGATGGAGAGCTGATGGGAAATGAGGGCGATTATGTCGGGCTTGTCGTTGCTGAGGTGAAGTTTGTTGTTAATCAGGTGTGAACACGCCAGTGGCATTTTAAACCTCGCTCATCCTGCGGCGGCCAATGAGACGACAGCAGAGCTTCAGAATGAAAGTGACGTCTCAGGTGACTGAGAGACGTCGACACTCACATCAGTTCTTCTCCGTCTGGGTCCAAGTGGAAGCAGCAGAAGGATTCACTTCATGAGTCTGATTTCAGATCAGTTCAGAGCGCGACACTCAGCGAGCGGTGAAGCTGAAGCTCCGAGACCTTCAGGGTGTCGGTCTGGTTCAGATTGAATTCACCTGTTGTATTTGTTTGGTTTAGGCTGGTGTGAAAGCTCTCAGTCAAACGGTGTCCAGGTGTATGGTCGCTGCAGCCGCCTGGTCCACGTGGACAAGCAGCTGCACTCACCTGTCTGCGGCTCAGCAGCTTCCTCTCAGGTGTTCCCACGGCGTCGTACTGAAGGATGATCAAAGGTTCATTTCTAATCCACCGTCCCGCCTGTCGGACACTGTAACCAGGTAGAGCTGCTTCAGGTGTGTTCTGGTCTGTAGTGGACTGAGTCTATGCAGAACCTGGATCGGTTCTACATTGTTTTAAAGTTCTAAGTTTCCTGGTTCTGTCTTAGTATTTTTATTCCTCTGCGCCAGCGACAGTCAGAGCAGCAGCCATTTTGTTTTCATGTCCGTCTGTCCGTCTTATTCTCAAGGTCAGATCTCTCACTGACGCCTTGAAGGAACTTCTTCAAATTTGGCACAAACATTCACTAGGACTCAAAGATGAACTGATTAGATTTTAGTGTTCAAAGGTCAAAGTTCAAGGTCACGGTGACCTCAGAAAACACTTTTTAGCCGTTAGGGTTAGGGTTAGACTTCACAGCAATTATGACAAAATTTCATACAGATGTTTGATATTTTATGACTAAACAAGGATGTGACCTGGAACTAATCTGAGTGACGGAGCAGGTGATTCTAGTTCTACAGGTCGTATCTTCCCTGTTTACACAAAGCAAATAAAAAAAACAGCTGACATTTCTGCCATGTGTGTGTCTCTGTAGCTGTGGTTCAGTCTCTGCTGCTCACTCTGAATATTCTGTTTTAAAATGTAAACAGTTTCTTCTCAGAGGAGACCAGAGTCCAGACTTTAACCAGAGTCCGGACTTTAACCAGGGACCAGACTTTAACCAGAGTCCGGACTTTAACCAGAGTCCAGACTTTAACCAGAGTCCGGACTTTAACCAGAGTCCAGACTTTAACCGGAGTCCAGACTTTAACCAGAGTCCAGACTTTAACCAGAGTCCGGACTTTAACCAGGGTTCAGACTTTAACCAGAGTCCAGACTTTAACCAGAGTCCAGACTTTAACCAGGGTTCAGACTAAAGAACTTGTTTATTTTGGGTTCATTATTTCAGGCTTGTGAACAAAAAGGTGGAGGTGTGGAAACAGTAAAACAACCTGTTTCCCAGCAGAGATTTGAGGTTTGTTGTGGTGAAACATTCGCTGTGTTTCAGTGTTTTATTCTCAGGCCTGAACAGAGCTGGTGTGTTTTGCTGCGATGGTGTCGTGGTGTGTTCATGGACAGTTTACTGTAAAATCTGTATCTGAAGAGAGTCAGTAATTCTAACTGTCCCCTGTCATCAGTGCAACGTTCCCTCTGAAGTGAAGAGTCAATTATAAAGTACCAGAAAACTGTAAAGTACTATCACCTCTGAGCTGTACTGCAGTACCACAGTACATGTACACCAGCTGCGTCAGCCAATCAGGGCTCAGCTCTGTCTTATCAGGTGGCTCATGTCCAGTCAGGTGACTCTTCTTCTTTGGTGGTTTAATCCTCCAACCTGCACATCAGCAGAAACACACTGACACAGTGCTGTGTGTGTGTGTGTGTGTGTGTGTGTGTGTATGTGTGTGTGTGTATGTGAGAGCTGACAGGCAAACACACGTGCTGTAAACACACACACACACACACACACACTGACTGTTTACTGTCCTATTAAGTAGAGTTTCATAATCCTGCTGCCTCAGAGATTAACACACTCTGACTCTTCTTCTGTCTTTTCTGCTCCGTCATCATCTCGTCTTCTCCTTCTCCTTCTTCTTCTTCTTCTTCTTCTCTCACCTTAGACCAAACACACTTGGAAACTGTGACATATCTTCACATTGACACTTTTATTTTGAAATGTTTGTAGATGAGTGTTTGGAGTTGTGAATGCAGCCTTGTCGTCCTGACTGGAACATGAGGCCAGGCTGCAGGACTGAGCCACAGAGTCTGTTTGTGCTGTCACCTCTGTGTGACCTCTGACCCCCGTGTCTCCTCAGGGAAGGCCTACGCTCCAGAGTTTTACTACGACACCTACAGCGCTCTGTGGCAGAACCGGCCCCGCGTCTACGGCTTCAAGCTGCAGTGGACTCAGATGGAGCCCAACGCCGTGGACCGGATCCTGGCCTACAGACTCGGCATCAGACAGGTCGGTGCACCACAGACACTTATCACATCAGAAAACTATACATTTAAAGATCTACGTCTTCAGCGGGAACCAATGAGCTGAGAGCCGCAGACAGGAGGGAGGTCAGACTGACGGACGAACTCACTCGTCAGTTTCTAAACACGAGAGAAAGAAGAAGAAGCTGTACAGGATCATCAGATAGCACCAGGAACACACTTTATTCCTGGAGCTGGAATCAACTTATTTTAATCCACAATGGCTTCTAGATTCATCCATGTCCATCCACACCAGATAATAAAAATACACAGAACAAAAATATAAATGCAACAATCCGCCCGGCGACAGCCAGAGCAGCAGCCATGTTGTTTTCAGGTTGTCCGTCTCATTCCTGTGGACACGATGTCTCAGTAACACCTCGACAGAACTTCTTCTCTTTTTAAAGATCATTTCATTTTAAAACATTTAAAAACTTTTTTTTTTCTTTTCACCAAAATTGTTGTTCAAACGAGTTGTCGACCCAGTCACATATAAACACCACAAACATATGAACTGTGACAGTGAACGTCGTCACATCTCCAGCTGGAAGCCGTTTCACTGCACGTGTCCTCTGTTGCCTCAGCGACGGCATGTAACGTGTCACATGACGTGCTCATGTCCTGCAGCGGTGGTGTGTTTGAAGCATTAGAAATATTACACAGAGTGAGTGCTCCTGTTACTCCTGTTACTCCTATCTTTGTGAGGGCGTTTGGTTTGTTCGCCTGTGTTTGAAGGTAGAGACTCGGGTTTAAAGTCAGGATGAGGGGAAGTCCTCACTTTACACGTGTAGAAAAACAAACGTACGTGTGTGTGTGTGTGTGTGTGTGTGTGTGTGTGTGTGTGTGTGTGTGATGCTCACTGGCCAGATTGCAGTAGCTGGAGGTAATCCTCTCTCTCTCTCTGTGTTTGACAAATATAGGACGCAGCCTTGCTGTTTAACCCTCGCTCGACCTTCCTGTAGCTTCAGATTTTTATTATTATTTTCTTATTTTTTGTTCTTTATTAGTGACTTTGCAACACAAAAAAAAAGTGTGACATGAAGGGTTCATATAATGGACAACATTATAACAGTGTTAGGGTTATAGAGACGTATGAATGAAAAGAATATGATATATATGGTACGAGTTCCTGCTTTTTTATTTATATGTGATGCAGTCGTGTGTATCTGTCTTTTTAAAAAGGAAAGTAAAGTGACATAATGATGTAACATCAATATAATTGTAGGAAGAACGTAATAAAAGTAAAATAGTAATAATATGATAATTCTAAATGTTATATATATATATATAAATCCTTTATAAGCTGAGTCTTATTGTGAAGGGGAACCTCAACAACAGTCCGGTTTCAACCAAATCCAAAAAGGTTTTCAAAGTAAAACCTGAAAAGTCCTGAACCGCAGCTTTAAGTATGAAAGGACACAACCAGAGGTGATGATCAGAGCACGTCACAACAGATCAGCTGGGTTATTGACGTGTTGATAGATCGATCAGTTCCTGTGTAAACATCGCAGATTACATGAAAACACGATGCTGCGTTCGTACCTGAAGCTCCTTCAGCAGCAACCTCCAGCTGTAGAGAATAAGGAGGAGGAGGAGGAGGAGGGTTTGTTGCCATGGTAACCCATCGGTCTTCATTCATACAGACCAGTGCTGCAGAGAGAGAGGAGGCAGGGAGGAAGTGCTGATGAGACAGAAAAAGAGGGAAAGAAAGTAGAAGAAAAAAAGAAGAAGAAGATGATGATGATGAAGAAAGACTGGAGGAAACAGAAGGAAGGCTGAGTTTACAGGAGAGCAGAGAGGCAGTAAGAGGAGGAGGGAGGGAGGAGAGGGGTGAGATGGGAGTCAGGAGAGATGAACAGGGAGGAGGAGGAGGAGGAGGAGGAAGAGTTTACTGGAGTGTAAAATGAGCAGAGTAGAGAGAGAGAGAGAGAGAGAGAGGAGATGCGAGTGAAGGAAGAGTGTTCAGTCATGACTCTGTTACTCTGGATGAACTCAGTGGTTCAGTGTGAATGTCGACCCGGTGTCTTTCTGGACCCACGTTCAAATCCTGATTTTATAACTGCAGTGAACCAACCACAGCCAGGGACCTATGGAACTAATCCTGTCACCTTGTGGCGACGGGGGGCAAAATAAACCTGAAACCTCGTCAGTACAGAGAGAGAGAGAATTAGCATTAGCACAAACGGTAGCACTGTGTTAGCCGCTGCCAATGACAAGCAAACAAACAGCATGAACAAACGGTAACTACTCTAACTGTTCTCAAAAGATCCTTGATGAGTGTTGTTGAGTGTTTCCTCCCTTCCTCCCTTCCTCCCTTCCTCCCTTACTCCCTTCCTTCCTTCCTCTGTGTCTCAGATGGGTCAGTCTCGCTGGTGGGAGCAGGAGATTCCCATGGAGGGAACCATCCAGAAGGGGGAGCTGTTGACCTACAACCTGACTGAACTCGTCAAACCTGAGTCCTACCTGATCCGCCTCACCCCCATCACCCGCTACGGGGAGGGAGACGCCACCGAACGCATCATCACATACAGCGGTACGTCATCTCATCTTGTGACATCATTGATGGGGGGGTTGGGGGGGTGGGGGGGTTAACACTGTCAAGACACTAAATTCACCGATGGATTCATTTGCCGCTGTGAGTAAAACTGCAGTTGCTGCTTAATCTGGAACTGGTCTGAGTGGCGGAGGGATACGACCACGAGGAGGTGATTCTAGTGTTAAGTTGCAGTGTGTTGAGCTCTCAGTGCCGCTGCAAGGCCCCGGCCGGCCGACAGGTTGCTGTGAGGCGAGAGTGTGAACCACTGTTCCACCGCGCCGCCCGTTTATTGATAACGTTACAAGTTATTTACTGTTGAAGGGTCTTTGATAAAGAAAAATAGGTCAGACTTTGTTTTCATCGTTAGACATGTGATGTACATCACCTGACTGAGACACAGTCTGTATGTTCTCCAGCCCGGGTTTTATCCGTCCAATCACTGCACAGCCACAGACGGGTGTGGTCATCAGTTCCTGTTGTTTAATTTATACTTCGAGTGACCTGGTGTCTGACTGCAGCGAACATAGGTCAGGTCAGAGGTGTAAAGACGGTTTTATTACCTTTAATTAATTGTTAACGATTATCTGTTTATTGATTGTTAATGTGGCTGACTCATCCGTTCATCCACTCTCCACTACTGTAATTCTTTTAACCATAAATCTGATATTTGTGAGTCATAATAATCTGATATACTGCTGACCTGAGCTGTGTGTGTGTGTGTGTGTGTGTGTGTGTGTGTGTGTGTGTGTGTGTGTGTCTGTGTGTGTGTGTGTGTCTTAGCTTCCTGACTTTGCACTGTCCCAGATCTGTAGCGCTAACTCAACACTAGTGCTGATAACACACTGTGACATTACACACCACACCTCCCCTGCTTTGGACACACACACACACACACACACACGCACGCACACGCGTGCACACGCACGCACGCACACACACACACACACACACACACACACACAGCCAGGTTAATTTCAGTGGTTGTTTTCCATCAGTTTTCAGATTGATTTCTTTCCTCCAGACAGACATTAGTTTTCATTTATTTCTGAGAAAATGAACTTGCCGACAGAAAATCACTCAGAGTCGACTTTGTGTTTTAGTTAAATTTATGTGGAGATGCAGTTTCAAACAGGGACTATTTAATGGGCGAAATGTACAGACACTGCTTGAAAACTGCTTTAAACAGCCGGTATATTTCTTTACAATAATACAGATTGTGTGTGTGTGTGTGTGTGTGTGTGTGTGTGTGTGTGTGTGTGTGTGTGTGTGTGTGTGTGTGTGTTGTTGCTGCAGGCTGTTGGCCTCACACACAGCTGTAAAAGGTCATGTCGTCAGTAAATTAACATATTCTGAGGCTGTGAACATGTTTTTCTTCCGCAGGTTCATCAGGTTCTGTTCCAGACAAGTTCATACACAGTCACATGAACATTAATTTATTCATTTATATAAATGTATATCATCAAGCAAATAATAATTTTGGATTAAATTGTTATCATGCTTTCAATAATAATGTTAATATAACAAAAATAAGCCATTAAAGTGCTGCATTGTAACATATTAAATGAATAAAAAATATTAACAAAAGAATTCAAATGACCATTTTCAATGTCAAAAAAGAATCTCTAAAGTCAATGTTTTATTTCTATCTTTACACCAAAGAGCTCTGTCCTTTCAGTTCCAGCATTCTTTCTGTAAATAACATTATTTTTTACCAGAAGATGCAGAGGCGTAGTGATGCAGGTCTC